TTGCATTCACAGGAGGCTAAAGTCCAGATTACAGGAAGTGTAGAACACCTTCTCTGACCAAATTCTTTACATTGGGAATACTGGATTCTGGGTATCACTATTCAAAAAGAACAGTGACAAATTGGAGTGAGTTCAAAGGGGGCTACCAAGATGTGAGCTGTCTGGAATCAAGCTTTGTGAAGAAACATATATCTATTTTACTCCACTCAACAGTGGGGAGATAAGATAGTAATTACAAAAGATGTGCATATTTTTCACCACCCCAGAGAACAGGGCCAGAACCAATGGATTAAAACTACAGCGAGAAAGCTTCAAGTTTAGGGTTAGTTAGGAGGAATTTCCTGACTGTACAAGCTATCAGTCAGTGAACTGGATTGTTACATAAAGTGGTGAATGGCCTTTGCTGGAAGTCTGCAAACACAAGCAGGATACTCATATCTGTCAGAGAAGTTGTAGAGGTTGCAGCACTGAAAAGAGGGTGGATTGTAAAGGTAGCATACTATTAGGTGAGAAAGATCAAGTCCACAAATGAAAGTCAATTTCACGATTGCTAAACATAACTATGCACAGGAATCCTCTCAACTAATGGTTAGCATAGATCAGGGTTGCGTTTGACCTTGGGGAGCTGGGTATGTGTGGTCAGGATGGTCGTGGCCAGTTCGACGTCATTTGTGCTGTGGGCCCTTGTGGTGGCCCAAGTGTTCTGCCAGTGAGAATGAAGTTTGGCCTCCCAAGCTTCGTTTTCACTGGCAGAGGGTTGCAAGAGGCTGTTGGAGCTGGGGAGGGCCGCATGCTCTGTTTTCACTGGCAGAGACACCATAGGTCGGTCCTGTGCTGTTTCCAGGGAGGCCCCATGGGCCACATCTAAGCACCCTGAGGGCTAGATCTGGCCTGCAGGCTTTGAGTTTGACACCCCTGGCATAGATTGATAACAGTTAAAAGAATTCAAGAGAGGACTTAGTTCACTTGCAACTATGTAGGGATTTTAGACTGATTGCTCTTTTAACTCCACCCCCAGGTTCTGCTACTCCTTCTATACCAGTGATGGCGAACCTTTTGGGCACCGAGTGCCCAAAATGGAACGGGTGCGGGCGCACCACATACCCAAGGACCAGGTGGCCGGTGCACACATGTGAACAGGCCAGCCGATCTTCAGGTTTCTGGGGCTCCGGCACACACAAAGATCAGCTGGCCGGCACACATCCACATGCCACAAACCAGAAGAGCAGCTGGCGATGGCATGCATGCCCACAGAGAGTGCTCTGCGTACCATCTTTGGCACACGTGCCATAGGTTCGCCATCATGGTTATATACACACCGTTTAAAATCTTCTATCAAGCAGTTCAAATCATCTATAAAACATCATCACATGGATATACACAAAATAAACAAATGCTTTGTTCCAAACTCAGAACAAAACCACCCTATTCAGAATGTTCCATTAGAACATTTCATATTTCATGTAGCAAGTATTTAGAAAGAATGAAACTCAAAATATTTTGACTGTTCTGACAAGGAAACAATGGAAATTTGAGATAAGGTGCTTACCCCATAGTTTTGTAAGGGCTACCAAATTAGGTAGTCTTATAGCCCAGCCTATATAAAATTGCCAAAGGTAATGATTTAAAAAAAAATCCCCATAGCACACAAAGGAAGCAATATGTAAGCTCACTTCTTGTGGCTTTTTCCTACATTAAAGCTGGTCACAGAATTGAACCTAGCAAATAACAACAACGGATTCATTTCAACAGATACGTAAGAGCCCCCAAAATTCATTTCTTTGCATAATTTTAGAGAACCATAGAGACAACCTTGCAGATTGAATACATCAGTTAGCAAAGAGGAGTTAAACCCAGGAAAGGAAGAAAACACTAGCAACTTAAATTGGCTCTGTCTTAACTCTCTTTGGCATAGGAGGGAGGGAAAGGAAAACTATCAGGTTTTTATGATTCTATTAGTATAGCCTATATCAATAAAATTGAGTTATAGAATTTTACCTGGAATTTGTTTTCCAGATAAAGCAAATGACAAGTGTTCTGTACAAATTTTAGAGATTCAGAACTGGGTGATTCAATTATATTGAACAAAGGCGTCAAACATGCGGCCAGCAGGCCAGCGATAGGCTGAGTTGTCCCGTGGGGCCATGCTGCCCTGGCCCCCCTGGCCATGCCAACCCAGTTGGCCATGCCAACCAGGTCGTGCCCTCCCGATCCCCCAAGGGCAAAGAAAATCCTGATATGACCCGCAATGGGATTGTGTTTGACACCCCTGATATAGAACTAGACAATCTGTTAGGTCACTGTCTTAAGAGATATTTCCTTACTAGATTCCTCAATGCCTTCAACAATGGCAGAGCTTCTAATGTACTTGAAAAGTTTTTTAAAAATCAGGGAAATATTGCGAGATGTATCTGCCTTGAAAATAGCCCATGTTGAACTGTCTAGCAGAGTCAAGCATCAAGCACTGACCACAGGAAATATTTTGTAACATTTTGTATTGTTTTATACATGAATTGTTTTATAAAATTTGTTAAATTACAATTCCATTGGAATCATGGGATCCGGGATTTATATGCATTCTGGAGTCTCAAATTTTTAGTCCATGTGGGATTTCTTGGTTCAAAAGTTGTTGCCCTACAATACAATATTTCACCCAATTTAAGAGTATATAGATGTTATTATCTTAAACTTCTAGTCTGCAACTATGGAAACATTCAAATTAATTACAGATCTTCTATGCCATTTATATAGACTCATACAGTATACTTTATCAGTATATTTTAACAGTGTGAGGATTTTATTTCAAAGCTGCTTTGAGTTCCTGAGCAAAAGGTAGAATATCAATCTAAGAAGCAAATAAAAATAGCCAGTTTCTTGTAACAATAGACTGCAAAGTATTTTACTGAAGTTTGAATTTATAGGATATTTAAAATATTTTCATTTAGGAACATGCTTCACCATTCCTAAAAGTCACTGATGTTTGTTTTTACAGAAAAACAGGATGATATATGTGCAACCACCTTATTTATACACGTTTATAACAAAATGGCATTATACAGACAGCATATAAACTATCAACAGCTAAGGCTAACTTCTGAATACTCAGTATTAGGAAGCCTAAATTCAACTGTGATTTAAAAGCATTCATATTTAGAATCTGGGAAAGAAAAAAAGATCCACTTGAAGTTACCATATTACAAAAAACACCGCATTTTAATTTTGATATCAAAGATTAAAACTCCCAATATCCTCGTGTGTGTGTGTGTGTGTGTGTGTGTGTGTGTGTGTGTAAGTGTGTGTAAAATTTAGATTTTTCAGCAGAAACAAAGAGCTAGAACTTTTATGATGATTTGCACAAAATCTTAAATATGTAACTATTAATTTTTTAGCTGTGTTGTATGCCCCTCAGCGCTGCTTGTTTGCGAGATGAGTGGCTATATAAATTGATTGATTGATTGAATGAATAAATAAACAAACAAACAAACAAACAAACAAACCTATACACACAGATTGACATTTTGGGAAGTTAATGTTTCCCTAACCTTTCAATACTAATGTGGGCGTGGATATTGTTTATTAATAATACAAAGCTGCTAAAATATTGTTTCATTATTAACTGAATAACAACAAATGATGAACAACAGCTGAATAAGAATGAATAAAATTACTCCATCTAGATTAGCCCTATCTATACTGACAGTAGCTTTTCAAGACTAGAACTCCTTGTTAAAACAATCAATGGAAGACAGAATCTGGGATTTTCCCTAGCCAATGCAAATCTTCTGTCAATGAGCTACAGTTCTTTTCTTGACTGTATATGTAACCTTTCTGATTAAGAGTTGTTTACTAAAATGAGGTTTATGTGACTTTTCATGTTATCAACAAGACTGGAAACACAGAAGTGTATTTTACCCAGAACTAACTACAAATTGCTGCTGAGAATCATTTGATGATGAGATGGATGGCATATAGATTTAATAAATAAATTAAATTAAATGTATACATACCAAAAGGATTAAGGTTTAAAACAAAGTTTGAATCAACTGCAGAAATAAGGTATAAAATGATTTTTAAAAAAATCAGGAATCAAATTGATTCACAGTGATTTCAGATGCGGGACACAATCTTTACTTGCTTGGCTCATTAATGAAATAATTAGAATTTCAGAAGGCATGTCATCTGAATTTCTAACGTTCTTATATAGTCACAAAACAGCACCTTTTATCATATTTATAATTTATAATGACACATATACAAACTTTCAGATGTAGTCTTAATGACATGGAAGTAATCAGCTACCCTGCCAAATCATTCTGGTAATATGATTACCATGATGCACTAGAAAATGGGAGGGGGGGGGGTGTTTGTTGAAAAACTTTGGTATTAATGTCTCTCCAGCAACTTTCAACTAAGCTAACCTTTGGTTTACTGGAAACCAATGAGAAATATGGGTATATCTGACACAAAACACCAAACATTTTGAGCATATGCTAAGAGATCTTTTCTAGCCTTGAAAGCAAATGTGACTTTTCTAACAACAAAGAGTGGTCTTCATCCAGTGAGCCACAGTTACCTGTTTCTCCAGAGAGGATGGAATATTTGGCAAGCAACAGCTGTTTTCCCATCCCAACTGTCAGATCACAGAAATAGAGGCGGGTTTTTAATCATTTACACTTCAAAAACTCGTTTTAGTACAAAGATTTGAGGGCGGCGCGAGGAGATGGGGGGGGGGAGGAAAGAGTTCCTTGTATCTTACTGCGGGTCTTCCCAATCATCCAGAATGCTGGACTACAACTCCCATCACCTGCACCTAAACATGGAGGCTGAAGACGGTGGGAATTGAAGCCTAACAGCTCCAGAGGCCACTGCCTGGAGGAGAAACCGCCTAACAGTGACGAAGGCGCTCAAAGAGAGAGAAAAGTAAACTTGGTGCCACCCGTACCGTCCGTCCCCCCCGTCCGTCCGTCCCCCCACGCCCAGCCCAACCCAACCCCGCGTACCGTCCTGGCGGCCTCTGCCCAGGTCCTGCCCTTCTTCTTGCGGCCCTTTTCCCTCATGGCAGCTGGCTACTGGCAAGAGCCGAAGAACCGATGGAATGAATGAATGAAGGAAGGCACGAGGGGAGGGGGCGTGTCCGAGGCCGGTGCGGGGTCTCTGCCGTGGGAGGGGGAGGAGAAGGAAGGGTTGGCCTCGGCCGCTACTTAAATCCTGAGTCTCGCAACGCCCGCAGCTACCCCAGCCGCCATGTTGGGAAACCTACAGTAATCACGTGACAGTGCCTCCACTTCTCCCCCTCCCTCCCTCCCTCCTCCTCTTCGGCCTGCCCGCCAACTGACCGCGTAATCCCGCCCACTGCCAGTGTAGGAAACGGGACGGAGGTGGAGCCAAAGGGAATTGGTGACAGGCGGCTCCGCCCTGCAGCGGGGGAAACAAGGCGTTGAGAGACAGATGCGCATGCGTTGTGCTGGGGTGACGGGAAAACGCCATAGTCGTGGCCTTCCACCCAGTGTCGTAGGTTTGGATTGCCTAGGGTAGTTTTCTAATATTACGCATGCGCACCGTCCTGGGACGCGTTTCACCATCTCGGGAGGCGTCGTTACAGACGGACTCCCTGTGGGAACCTGAGTGTAGAGTTTCTGGGTGTTAATTGCAAGCTCTTTAATCGGGTCTCTTCAGTGCCCGGGCTTTCTCCTGTTGGTGGCAGAAATGAGGCTGTTCGATATTGGCTACACTCCGGTTGCTATGCTGTCCGTATCGAGTCTCAATTCAGCAGTTTCTCGTGGAGTTACGTCCGCATAAGACATTATTCAGGGCATCACTGAGCCCTGGTTTATAGGATTGATTCGACCCACGCTTATTTGGCACGGCAAGTTAAAAGAAACAAGGAGAATAGAAATAGAAATATATAAAAGAAATAATAGAATAGGAAAAAGAATAGAATAGAAATATATAAAAGAAATAATAGAATAGGAATAAGAATAGAATAGAAATAGAAATATATAAAAGAAATAATAGAACAGGAAAAAGAATAGAATAGAAATATATAAAAGAAATAATAGAATAGGAATAGAAATATATAAAAGAAATAATAGAATAGGAATAAGAATGGAATAGAAATATATAAAAGAAATAATAGAATAAGAAATAGAATAGAATAGAAATATATAAAATAAACAATAGAACATGAAAAATAATAGAATAGAAATATATAAAAGAAATAATAGAATAGGAATAAGAATAGAATAGAAATATATAAAAAAATAATAGGAAAAAGAATAGAATAGAAATATATAAAAGAAATAATAGAATAGGAATA